CCAATCACTCTGCACCTTATTCCTTGAGGCACAGTCTCTCACTTAACCTGCTTTTCAACTAAGTCAATAAGCTTGAGGGACCATGTGTCTCCATCTCTCCAGTGACCGGGTTACAGACATGCATTGCCACACGTAATGTTCTTTGTTTCTGTTTTTAACATGGTGCTACGGATCCAGATTCAGGTCCTCTTTACCATCTGAGCCATGCCCCCAGCCCAAACCACACACTTTTACTTCCCAAATAGTCCACCAAACCCAGGTCCACAACAATGGAGCCAGACGACCCACAAAATGAAATCTGTGAAACTGTGAGCTAAAGTAATATTTCCTTCCTGGGAACTGCTCTCAGAGTGAGCTCGTCCAGGTGGTAAGGAATCTGAATCCACATCTCTCTAGGTTTACAACACGTGACGCTGACGGGGGACGTCCTTCTGTATCTGTGTTTCTCCTATTGGTTGATGAATAAGACACTGATTGGCCAGTAGAGACCTTTTTTTGAGGGGGAAAAGGGGGGGGGGGGGGAGGGGGCAGAGAGAAGCCTCCAGGAGGAGACACAATGAAGAGACCACAAAGATATGAGTCACCAGGTGTTCTCCAGTAAGATAAGACCATGTAGAAATTCATAGATTAGTAGTTATGGGTTAATAGTAAGAGACAGATAGCCAGTAAGAAGCCCTAACCACTGACCAACAGTTTTATAATTCATACATGTTTCTGTGTGCTTATTTGGGGCAAATCAGCTGTGGGACCAGGCTGGAAAGAAACTCCAGCAACATTAACCCACTGGCTCGAAAGCACAAACTCAAATACCCTGATAAAGGGGAAATAGACCAAAATCTATTAAATGGATTCAAGGAAGAAATTCAGTCCAGACACAGTGGTATGAACCTGTAGTCCCAGCAACAGCAAGGCTGAGGTAAGTGGATCACCATGAGTTTTAGGCCAAGCGGGCCTACTACGTAGGAAAAGCTTGTCTAAGCCCCTCCCTATGCATGTCACCTGGGAAGACAGTCTTTATTTTCGGATATTTTTAAACAATCAGATATGTCTGTGTGTATCTGTATGGGGGTATGAACACGTGAAAGCAGCTACCCGTGCACACCAGAAGAGGGTGTCAGATCCCACAGAGCTGGGGTTAGAGGGGGTTGTGAACCACCCAATGTGGGCGTTGAGAACCAAACTCAGATCTTCCGGAAGAAGAGTTCAGAGTTCTCGGCTGGGGAGCCCTCTCTCTAGCCCTGGGAGGAGGGGAGTATTAATGAATTATCTAGATCCAGCCGGCCAAAGCAAACATCTAGGGGTTGGGATGAACTGTCTTGAGTAATCCTAGAGGTGGGGAGACCCATTCTGAATGTAGGCGGTACTGTTTCTTGGAATGGTCCCTGAGGAGAAGACACGAGCTGTGAGAGCAAGCAGGCAGCACGGGTGCATTCATTTTCCTCTGCTCTTGGCTGTGGATGTGACTGCCTGCTTTTGCTGAAATGATGCACTGCAGGCTGGAATTATAAAGCAAATAAACCCTTTCCCCCTCTAAGTTACTTTAGGTTCTGGTGTTTTATCACAGCCAGAAAAATCAAACTAGATCACCTCTCTTTCTCTCTCTCTCTCTCTCTCTCTCTCTCTCTCTCTCT